GCGCGGAGGGGATCTGGCCTGGAAGGAATTTTAAACTGCAGCGAGCTGGCGCCCCAGGACTCCCCTGCCGCCCACCACCGCTCTCCTGAGCACCAGCATGAACATGCTGAGATGTTTACCTGCGTTTCCGTGTCTGGTGTGTGTGTGTGTGTGTGTGTGTGTGTGGCGGGCGGGGGGGGGGTCCTTCCTCCTGCCTCAGATTGGAGACCTCGAGGGTTGTCAGGTTTGTCATATAAAAATGCAGGGTGTCCAGTTAAATTTGCATTTCAAATAAACAATGAATAAAAGTTCAGTATAAGTATGTCCCATATGTTGCATGGGATATACTTATACTGAAAATCTTATTGGTTATTTATCTGAAATGCAAATGTAACTGGACGTCTTGTGTTTTTTACCCCCTAACAGCCTTAGAATCACCGCAATGTCTAATTCGTGTCTGCAACACATTGAGGACTTCTGAAAAACCCAGTTGGGCTGTATTTCCGCCCTCAGACTAAGTTTGGTGAAGCCGGGGGCTGTGCTTCACGGTTCTGAATGGAGTTATGATGGTGGTACATATCTCATCGGAGTAGGAGCTTCCTGGGGGAGGGGGCGGGGCTGGGTTTCAGATTAGAGCTTGGTGGTCAATGTCTGGGTCTCCTTTACCACCCTGGGGTTCCCTGGGGCAGAATCAGGGTGCTTCTGGGAGAGCAAGTCTGTCTCCTTTCCTCCCCCGGGCAGGTGGAGGCCCCGCCCCCTTTGTGTAGCTCCCTGCCTACAGGGGGCGCTAGGGGCCCAGAAGATTGCCCTACAGATGGATGGGTGGTGTTCCTTTTTCTCAGGACTCAGGGCTGCAGGTTGTTTGGGGTTGATACACCTGAGGACTGGGGATGGGACCTGGTCCTTGACCAGGCAGTGGAGGCCAGGCAGGGAGTGTGGCTCTTGGTACCGACTGACCCTGCTCACATCCTCTCTCCCCATAACTATGGCAGCCAAGCCCCCGACCTCCATCAGCTTCCCTAATCCCCACTGCCCAGGCTTCACGTGGGCTGTTCTCTCTGCCTTTCTTCCCCTCCCCTCCTCCAGGGCTGCTAGAGGCATCCCAGCTCTGGATGGTGTGCCCTAGTAGGCTGCTGTCTGTGGGTCTTCTGGTGTTAAAAGCCCTCCATCTACTCCCCCCTTCTTCACCACCGTGGGCCACAGGGGCCAAAGATCGGACAAAGGCAGGGGTGGGGAAGATGGGAAAGTGAGGGGAGTGTAGGTGGAGGGGGAGCAAAGGCCCCTCTGCCATCCTCTCCCCCTCTGCCTTCTGGAGCCCCTTCCCAAACTCCCTCGGGGCCTCTGAGCTCGGTTCCCTTCAGCTGAGGGAATTCCCAGAGAAGCCCTTTCCCACGGTTGCAGCCGCAGCACCCCCCACCCCTTGCTCCTTTGGCCACAGCTCTGCAGAGCGCAGGCCGGGCCCACCCGTCTCTGCAGGACCCCCTCCTTGGGCCCGGGTGCCTGTTCCGTGAGCCGGTGGCATCATCACCCCACTCCTCAGGCCGCCCAGTCATCAGATCAGCAATTAGCAACTTCCTCTCTGCGGCATGAGGCCACTGAACGTCACCGCCCCTCCCCCTGCCAGCCGCAGCGGGAGTGCTGGGGGGTGCCCTCCACCCTTTGTAGTCAGTCCAAGTCTTGGCACTCCCCCCACCACCAACTGCTGAGTTCTGGGTTAATGAACCTCCCATCTAGGGAGCTGGGTGCTCCCTGAGGGCGGGAAAAGCCTCCCTCCCCTCCCCGTCACCCCATCCCATTGAGTAAGGACACTCCCGCTGTGGGGTGGGGCCATGCCGGCTCAAGGGCACGGGCAGCACCCGCGGGCGGGGCTTGAGACTCAGGTGTCTGCCCCAGTCACAGGCGGTTTTCAGCAGGTTCTCACGTGGGGCCCAGGAATCTGTGAAATGAGGGCGGGGGCAGTTATCTGGTGAGGCTGAGGCTGGGGAAACGGGAAAGCCACTCTACAAACACCCAAACAAGCAGGGGGCAGGCTCTTCACGAACTCCCACAGGGGCTCCCTCACCTGAGCCTACCCACCTGTCTCCGGTAGGCGAACCCACCCACAG